TTTGATTTAAGTTTTATTATAATTATCACATCTATGAACTATAATCTTTATTGGACCATTCCGAATTTTAAGTTTTAAACTTGAAAAATTATATCAAAGTAAATATTTTTATGTATAAAATAAAATTTTAAAATTACATATATAATGTCGGGTTGGTTTGGTCTCGAGTTGATTTTTTTAGTTAAAACCAAACCAACCCACATATAGTCGGGTTTTTTTTTCCAATACCAAACCAAGTCAAACCAAACCACTAGTCAGGTTTTTTTTCCAGTTTGACTCGGTTTAGGTTCGGTTTTCGGTTCGGTTTTGTACACCCCTAGTTCCCATATACTTTTGAAGAAATAAACTTCAATTTTACTCTTTACTGAACTCAAAACTCAAACCTTAAACAAAGTTAAAACATTTGTAAAAGACTTTTGAAAAACTTTATGCATTTCTCTTGATACTTGACTCTTAACTTCTCTTGACTTGACTCTTTATTGATCCTTGAATTGACTCTTAACTGATTCTTGAATTGAATTATGGATTCAAGGATTGAGATTTGTGATAGGAAATATCTCATGATGTTTAGGAATGATTTTAGATAGCTAAACATGAGTAAAGCTCACGAAATTACCGTCTTGGAACAAGTCCGCGACGCGGAGATGTTTCTAAATAAATGGTCGCGAAATTAAATTTTGAGACAGAGGAGTCCGCGTCCTAACCGTGACGCGGAGCAACTTTTTTTTTGCACTGGGGGAGCAAGTCCGCGACGCGAACTTGCGTGCCAAAATCTTCTCGATTTTTCCTTCTTCGTTTTCCAGCCCTTGTTCGCCTAAACTCGACTATTGATCTCAAATTCATTTTAGATCCCGATACCCAGAATATGTACTCAAGAAAACCTAACTCAAAACAACTCTAAAACTCAACTTAAAGATCTTCAGAAACTCCTCAATTCATCCCAATTCAAGAACAACATGTCAAGAACATCAACTTTCAAACTCTTTTAGGACGAATTTCGCTGAACTAAACATGCTTGGCGCGTGGGTGAACGAACCCGACGCTATGAAAGACTCGCATACCTTGTAGGGATCACCCCAACGAAATTCACAAGCCAAACTCGACAAACTTGACGATATCCTTGCTTCTCCTTCTCTTTTCCCCTCTTCTTTCCTCTTCTCTAAAACCCTAACTCTTTTCCAAAAAGCGTAAAACTGACCAAGTTCAGTTTAGACCCTTAATTAATTCACTAACACGAATTTAATTAATTGGATAAGGAAAAGACTGAAATACCCTTCAAAAATTCGGATTAGACTTTCATTAATCGCACAACCCAACTTTCAAAGGGTATAACTCACTCATACGAACTCCGAATCGCGAAAACTCAGTGGCGTTGGAAATATCATTCCAAGAGCTTTCCAACCATATCTCGAAGTATATCTAACTCATCCTGAGCTTGGAGTTATGTCCGTTTGAAGTTGACCAAAAACTCACTATTTCCTAACTTTAACAAATTTCCAGATTTTCATTATTTCCAAAGATGACTATTTCCAGCTCTTAGCTTCTTCCTAGCTATTTCAAATTGCGAGATGTTACAATATCTCCCCCTTGGGAACATTCCTCCTCGAATGAGATTACTCTTACTAGGCTAAGGGTGTAACATGCAACATTCAGTTCAAACACCCACAAGCAAATGCAAAACAACATGCCAACTTGTAAATAAATACTAAGAAAGGATTAATAGTACCTTGATCTGGAATTTCTTTGGGTTCGAAGAGTTGTATATATCAGTAATGACCCGAAAGGTCATTTTGGTAATTTTTCGTGGAAATGACTATTTTGCCCTTTCGGTAGTTGTCCCGAGTCCCATGTTTTGTGGTTGTAAAGTTGGTTTGAGGGAAAGTTGGTAAAAAGTTGAGTTTTTAAGAAGTTAAGTTTTTATGAGTTAAAGTTGGTTAAAAGTAGCTTTTTCGTAGTCATTTGGAGTTTCGTGACTCGGATCGGATTTCCGTCGATTCCGGCGGTTTTAGAATGTCGAAACAGGTCTGTGTGAAGTTACGGAGTTGAATTTGGAGTTGAAACGAAGAATTGAGGTCCTAAGTTGCTAAAGTTGTGAAATTTCGATAAAGAGTTGACTTTGGTCAACATATGAGGTTCCGAGGCTCAGATTGAAATTCCGAGAGTACCGTTGGTTTCGGGAGGCGATTCTAAGTCTAGAATGATTCTTGGTTGAATTTTTAGACGCTCCGTTTGAGTTTCGAATTTTTTTGGCGTTAAACTAGTTTCTTGGCATCTTATTGAATTTCGGATCAAGGAGTCCTCGAATTCAAATTCCGACGGTTCCATTGAGTCCGGAACGTCGAATTTAGTGGGGATACATATTTAGTTTGTGTGCACGAGATTCCGAACGAATCACGAGGGTCCAACGGGGACTTAAACTTTGGGCTTATTGCTGTGTTTCAGCTGCAACACAGCCCATTTATTTATTTTTAAGTAAAAAACCAGTAGCCATTCTCCCCCAACTTGAAAAATACCCATTTCTCCATTTTTAGACTTTGAGAGCTCGAAAATAGGTGATTTCAAGTGGGTTTTCGCAAGGAATTCATTGGATTGTGGTGATTTGGAGCGTGCTCGGAAGGGTAAAACTCAAATTTGAGTTACTAGTTGAAGTGTTTTGAGGCAAGTGACTTCTAAACTTTGTTAAACTCTTAGACTACACATGACTACTTTCCTAATTGTGTTGGGGAGTAATGGGGATTGAGGATGAGTTTTATTTGTTGATTGAAATTGTTGTAATTGAAAGATGGGGAATAAAACGAGCTAAATGTGTTATATGTGACTTGAATTTGTTGAATAAGTCATGTGATAACTGATATTGAGGGGATAG